GTGGTGGTGTGTTGTGTCTGTGGTGGTGTGTTGTGTCTGTGGTGGTGTGTTGTGTCTGTGATGGTGTGTTGTGTCTGTGATGGTGTGTTGTGTCTGTGGTGGTGTGTTGTGTCTGTGGTGGTGTGTTGTGTCTGTGGTGGTGTGTTGTGTCTGTGGTGGTGTGTTGTGTATGTGGTGGTGTGTTGTGTCTTTGGTGGTGTGTTGTGTCTGTGGTGGTGTGTTGTGTCTGTGATGGTGTGTTGTGTCTGTGATGGTGTGTTGTGTCTGTGGTGGTGTGTTGTGTCTGTGGTGGTGTGTTGTGTCTGTGTGTGTGTTGTGTCTGGTGTGGTGTGTTGTGTCTGTGATGGTGTGTTATGTCTGTGATGGTGTGTTGTGTCTGTGATGGTGTGTTGTGTCTGTGGTGGTGTGTTGTGTCTGTGTGTTGTGTCTGTGGTGGTGTGTTGTGTCTGTGATGGTGTGTTGTGTCTGTGATGGTGTGTTGTGTCTGTGATAGTGTGTTGTGTCTGTGGTGGTGTGTTGTGTCTGTGGTGGTGTGTTGTGTACTCACCTAATTGTGCTTGCAGGGATTGAGCTCTGGCTCTTTGGTCCCGCCTCTCAACTGTCAATCAAATGGTGTACAGATTCCTGAGCCTACTGGGCTCTATCATATCTACATTATAAACTGTGTATGGAGTCAGCCTCAACCACATCACTGCCTAATGCATTCCATCTGTTAACTACTCTGACACTGAAAAAGTTCTTTCTATCGTCCCTGTGGCTCATTTGGGTACTCAGTTTCCACCTGTGTCCCCTTGTACGTGTGCCACCCGTGTTAAACAGTTTATCTTAATCTACCCTGTCAATTCCTCTGAGAATTTTGTAGGTAGTGATCATGTCTCCCCTTACTCTAATGTCTTCTAGTGTCGTGCGGTGCATTTCTCGCAGCCTTTCTTCGTAACTCATGCCTCTTAGTTCTGGGACTAGCCTAATTGCATACCTCTGAAATTTTTCAAGCCTTTTCGCCTTGTGCTTGACAAGGCATGGGCTCCATGCTGGGGCCCACATACTCCAGGATTGGTCTTACATATGTGGTATACAAGGTTCTGAATGATTCCTTACACAGGTTCCTGAAGGCTGTTCTGATGTTAATCAGCCTCGCATTTGCCGCAGATGTAATTCTTTTGATGTGGGCTTCAGGAGACAGGTTTGGTGTGATATCAACATCTAGATCCTTCTCTCTGTCCGTTTCATGAAGGACTTCATCTCCCATTCTGTATCATGTGTCTGGCCTTCTGTTTCTACTGCCTTGTTTCATTACCTTACATTTATTCGGGTTGAACTTCAGTAGCCATTTGTTGGACCATTCATGCAGTCTGTCTAGGTAATCTTGTAGTCTCATGCTGTGTTCCTCCGTCTTAATCCTCGTCATAATTTTTGCATCATCAGCAAACAATGAGAGGAATGATTCTATACCATCTCGAAGATCATTTACATATATCAGAAACAATATGGGTCCAAGGATTGAACCTTGCGGGACCCCACTGGTGACGTCTCGCCAATCTGATACCACAGCCCGCACAGTGACTCGCTGCCTTCTGTTACTTAAGTACTCCCATATCCAATGGAGTACCTTCCCTTTCACTCCTGCCTGCATCTCCAGCTTTTGCACTAGTCTCTGGTGTGGCACTGTGTCAAAGGCTTTCTGGCAATCCAAAAATATGCAGTCTGCCCACCCCTCTCTTTCTTGCCTGATTCTTGTTGCCTGATCGTAGAATTCAATTATTCCTGTGAGGCATGACTTGCCATCCCTGAAACCATGTTGGTGTTGTGACACAAAGTTCCTTCGCTCCAGATGTTCGACTATCTTTTTTCGCACAATTTTCTCCATTAGCTTGCATGGTATGCAAGTTAGGGACACTGGCCTGTAGTTCAGTGCCTCCTGTCTATCACCCTTCTTGTATATCGGGACTATGTTTGCCGCCTTCCAAATTTCTGGCAGTTCACCTGTTACCAGTGATTTGTTATACACTATGGAGAGTGGCAGGCACAGTGCTTCTGCTCCTTCCTTTAGTATACATAGTGATATTCCATCCGGGCCTAAAGCCTTTGTCACATCCAACTGTAGCAAAAGCTTCCTTACTTCCCTACTGTTATTCTCAAATTTCTCTAGTGGTGCCTGGTTAATTATTCCTTCTCCTGTCTCTGGAACTTCTCCTTGCTCTAATGATGAAGACTTCCTGGAATTTCATATTGAGTTCCTCACACACTTCTTTGTCGTTTGTAGTGAATCTGTCTGCCCCTCTCCTCAGTTTCTTTACCTGTTCCTTCACTGTTGTCTTTCTCATGATGTGGCTGTGCAGCAATTTGGGTTGGGTCTTTGCCTTGCTTGCTATGTCGTTTTCATACTGCCCTTCTGCCTCTCTTCTCACCCTGACGTATTCATTCCTGGCTCTCTGGTAACCTTCTCTGCTCTCAAGTGTCCTGTTATTTCTATAGTTTCTCCACGCTCTTTTACTGTGTTGCTTAGCTAGCTTACATCTCTGATTAAACCATGGGTTTCTCATCTGCATTTTAGTTTTTACCTTTTGGGCCGGGACAAACTTTTCTGCTGCCTCCTTACACTTCTGCATGATGTAGTCCATCATGTCTTGGGCCGTCTTTCCCCTTAGCTCTGATTCCCATGTTACATCCGTTAGGAATTTTCTTATCTCCTCGTAACTGTCTGTGAGTGTGTCTGTGAGGGTGTGTTGTGTCTGTGAGGGTGTGTGTTGTATCTGTGAGGGTGTGTGTTGTGTCTGTGAGGGTGTGTGTTGTATGTGTGAGGGTGTGTTGTATCTGTGAGGGTGTGTGTTGTATCTGTGAGGGTGTGTGTTGTATCTGTGAGGGTGTGTGTTGTATCTGTGAGGGTGTGTGTTGTATCTGTGAGGGTGTGTGTTGTATCTGTGAGGGTGTGTTGTATCTGTGAGGGTGTGTTGTATCTGTGAGGGTGTGTGTTGTATCTGTGAGGGTGTGTGTTGTATCTGTGAGGGTGTGTGTTGTATCTGTGAGGGTGTGTGTTGTATCTGTGAGGGTGTGTGTTGTATCTGTGAGGGTGTGTTGTATCTGTGAGGGTGTGTTGTATCTGTGAGGGTGTGTGTTGTATCTGTGAGGGTGTGTGTTGTATCTGTGAGGGTGTGTTGTATCTGTGAGGGTGTGTTGTGTCTGTGAGGGTGTGTTGTGTCTGTGAGGGTGTGTTGTGTCTGTGAGGGTGTGTGTTGTGTCTGTGAGGGTGTGTTGTGTATGTGAAGGTGTGCTGTTGCATGTGCTGGAATGTGCTTCGTGTGTGTTAGTAAGCCCGTGTTGCTTGCTGTGTTTGTAAGGAAAAGTGTGTTTGATCAGTTAAGTTCATTTGCGCTGCAATTTTGACTTATGTATGTGTGCTTAGTTTTGTGTTTGTTTGTTCGTTAGTAGTTCTTTGTTTAGGCTTTTTGGTTTGTCTATGTATGGTCTGCTAGGCTGGTATGTATTGTTAGCCAGTGCTGTTTATTGGTTGTCTATGTTGTATGATTTGGCATGTATATAATCCATAGTCTGAGAGAGTGTGTGTGTGTGTCACCGGGACTCACTGTTGTGTATGAAGTATGTCCAGGTGTGCGCTCCAGGTGTGTCTGGTGTATGTGCGTTGTCTCTATAATGGTAAGCCTTTAAGCGTCTATACGATCAGACTTTATTCGTTGACTATTACTCTTGTGCTCTTCCTTATCCCCCACTTCCCATCATCATACCTATCCACTGGAGTGGTTAGTACAAGGACGGTCACATTGCAAGGTCGGTGTTCAATCCCCGACGCTCCAGACACCGTCCCTTCCCTCCGTCCGCATGTTCCAGGTCATTGTCTTTATTTGGCAGCGCGTTGCCCTCGTATCCCTTCCTACTGTTCTATAGTCATTCCGGCCTAACGCTTTCTCTTGCTAATTACCTAGCTTTACTTTCCTGTCACCATCCTTATCTACTCATTCTTACTTTCTTTAATAACTGCAACTGCTGTTACTTCCATATGCTGCCTCGCCCCCTTAATATTAGTGGCGGCCTCCGTGCTGTGTGATCTCTCTAGCCAGCTAGGTCTCTCCTCCCCCGCCTCCTTCATTTCCGGCTGCCCGTCCTGAAGAAACAGGTTAATACGTGACGCCATTGTCTCTCCCAGCACCAGTCGACTCATAAAACAAAACTTGGAAAGGCACACGCCCAACACCGGAAGTCCATTGTGAGGGGATATTAGTTCAACTGGCGTACCTTGGGGCGCCCGGGCCGACCGCGCCAAGCTCCCTCACTCGCAGGCGCTGGCGGCGGGTCGTGTTCACGTCGAGGAGAAATCCCTTGACCTTTTATTCGTGCTTTGATGAAAGTTATTTTCAAAGAAAGATCACACTAATAGATAAGAAGTGGAATGATGAAAAGCGAGGAATAATGGGGGATATATCTGATAGTGGGGGCAGTTTTGAGCTGGAACAGGTGATTGTGGCAACGTTACATACCATTATCTCTTACCACTTTCTGGCTGCCAAATTATCTGCCGCCAGATGTATGACAACGTTGTATTCGACCTGTCTTCCTAAAATCTCACTGCGCTGATACTGACTGTGTAACAGTGTTGGTTAGTTGAGAAATTCTTTTATAATATATAAGTTATTAAGGTAACACCAAGAATATCTAAATAATGAATTAGTCTTTACACTTATTAAAAGAAAATTACATCGCTGCTGCCAGCGAGACGGCAACAGTGAGGTAACTCCGCCCTCCCAGACTGGTGGACCAATCAGCGCGGCGGGCGCGCAGCTTGACTTGTCATACGCGGACGGCGGTTGGTAAGCCCGCCCAGATTTTCTATTGTTCGCTCGCCAAGGCTCTTACATCCCTTTGTTCAATTACAAACTCGCCCTTACTGGGGAAAGAATCGCTTAAGGTGATTTGGTATTCATTGGCGTGCTGTTAAGCGTGGCTGTATTGTAAAAGGCACTGTCTAGCAATCGGCCATATTTGTCTTGGCCGTTTGTTGGTGCAGAGCTTCTTGACTGCGGCGCCTCGCTCTCGCTCCTGTGATCAAGCTTAACCTGCGTCTTGACCAAAAGTGATCTTGAACCTTCCATTAACCCGAACTTAATACTCACCGTCGTTCAATTCGCCGAAACTTGAAAAGGGGCAAAATATATCTTTCCTCAAATGGCAGGCTGCCTGAGGGAGGTGTAGTACACTAATAAACGCCTCACGAGTGATTTAAGCGGCCATTGCGAGTGAGGATTGGTGGCTCGGGCAACCAGGCTGGAGAAGCCTCCATGTGTGCGGCTCTGCCCTCTGGTGACAGCGGCCAGAACTACCCTGCCCGCCAAAATACCCACCTAATTCGCCAACACAGCCAACCTGCCCGCCAAAACGGCCGACACACTAACCAAAATGACCAGCTATAGCTACACGTCTCAACAGGATCAATGGAAGGAGAACAATAATAACACAGCCATTGGCAACATGTCGGCGTTCTGTGCCAGTTCAGGTAAGCTTCAGTTGCAGAGAGAGAGGGGCGCGCCGGCCCTCCTCTCTGCTCCAGGGGTCATTATTCCTTTATCCTGGGGGGGCACGTGCCTCACAACTTTCTCTATCCTGGGGGACACGAGCCTCACAACCTTCTCAATCCTGGGGGACACGAGCCTCACAACCTTCTCTATCCTGGGGGACACGAGCCTCACAACCTTCTCTATCCTGGGGGACACGAGCCTCACAACCTTCTCTATCCTGGGGGACACCAGCCTCACAACCTTCTCTATCCTGGGGGACACGAGCCTCACAACCTTCTCTATCCTGGGGGACACCAGCCTCACAACCTTCTCTATCCTGGGGGACACCAGCCTCACAACCTTCTCTATCCTGGGGGACAGTAGCCTCAGAACCTTCTCTATCCTGGGGGACAGTAGCCTCACAACCTTCTCTATCCTGGGGGACAGTAGCCTCACAACCTTCTCTATCCTGGGGGACACAGTTTTTAATAGTATTTTATCGAGTGGTTATTAAAATATTAATTACATATTTTAGTTTTGAATACTATATATAAATATATAAAATAATAGGGGTGGTAAAAGAAGAAAATATTAGTGTTCAGTGAAAATACACAAGGTCTTCTCTGAATACTCTTTATTTTCTTCTTCGAGATTATGGGTCTCTACACTTGCACCGGAGGTGGTACCCCTTAGTATAATAGGTTATACATCAATTGTGTAGCCTCATGAAGCTCATAAACAGTCAGTGCACGCTGATAGCCTCATGCTGCTGTGGACCCGCAGTCCCGTCACGTGTGTCTCCTTCACTAATAAATGAAGTAAATGTTAAAAAAAATTATATATATATATATATATATATATATATATATATATATATATATATATATATATTTATAGCGTATATATAGCGTTTATATAATTATATTTGAATTAAATGTATGGAAGCCATTAATATTATGATTGGTAGTTTGTATACCATTATAAGAGTATGAGTTATAGTTTGAATAATAATAATAATTCTTATTATACCATTATTAGTATGAGTTGCAGTTTGCCTGTATACAATTATTGTTATGAATGGTAGTTTGCTTGTATACATGAATAACTTGTTTTTAAAGTGTTTCATATTGATCTCTGTTGCTAGTTTAGAGTTAATATTGAGCATTATTGTTGACTTTGTACAAGCTTGTGCAGTATTACTGGTGGTCGTTAACACTCAACTTAATTTATGATCCTGTGCTTGTCTTCAGCTTTATTATTGATATGTAAATATCTAGCTTTATTGTTTCTGCTGAAATAATATTTAACTTGATTACTGATGTGTTAAAAATTATCTTCATTACTCTGGTGCTAATTTTGATCGTTATTTGTCTTACGTTAGTATTGATATTAATAATATAATTTATTAATAATACAATTAATATTGATCTTTAATATAGGTGTTATAGTCATACTAAGCTTTATTTAATACAACTGTTTTCCCTAGCTGTCAGGCGCGCCGCCTGACAGCTGGGTGGACAGCGCTTCGGATTCATAGTCCTGAGGTTCCGGGTTCGATCCCCGGTGGAAGCGGAGACTAATGGGCAAAATGTTTCTTTAACCCTGATGCTCCTGTTACCTACCAGTAAATAGGTACCTGGGAGTTAGACAGCTGCTACGAGCTGCTTCCTGGGGGTGGAGGCCTGGTCGAGAACCGGGCCGCGGGGACACTAAGTCCCGAAATCATCTCAAGATAACCTCAAGAAGATAGCATTGAACTTTATTAACGTTACTAATCTAATGCTTTTTGAATATTGTGTCTTGAGTGATGTGCTCAGTTTTAGCTTAATAACTCATAGGTTACTGTCGTGTTAATGTTGCAACTAATTAACATTTTCTAGTCAGGAATGTCATCTTGGTGTTATTGATAGGTTATCAAGAACAACCACTAGACCTATCTCCTTATATAACTAGCAAGTCTCTCAGAGGCGATAATTATCAAATTACCACAAGACGGGTTAATATCCAGTGTATAAAGTATTAACACAAGTTTAAGTTAATATCCAGTGTATAAAGTATTACCACAAGTCAGGTTAATATCCAGTGTATAAAGTATTAACACAAGTTTAAGTTAATATCCAGTGTATAAAGTATTACCACAAGTCAGGTTAATATCCAGTGTATAAAGTATTACCACAAGTCAGGTTAATATCCAGTGTATAAAGTATTAACACAAGTCAGGTTAATATCCTATGTATAAAGTATTACCACAAGTCAAGTTATAGTATTACCACAGATAGACTAATACCTTGTATATAAACTTTTCAATGAAAGCCTCATTATATATTTTAGATTTAATACCACAATACTAATAAAATTAATATTAATATTAATATTAATAAATATAATAATAAAAATACTTGTTTAAAATCATAATAATAATAATTGAATAAAATAAAAATAATAATATTTTATCTTGAAACATCCAGAGAATTAGATGAGAGTGAATAGTCAGAAGGTATATTATTTGCATGCTTTATAGAGTGTCTAGGCGTTGCTTAGTGTGATCCCAAGTGATGGTGGAACTACCCGCCAGTTTGGTTGACATGCGGCCATACTGACCATTATTACATGTAAACTCTCACTGGTGTTGCTGAGTTGCGACAGATGTTCTTAATAATATTTGAAGCAGAGTTCGGGTATACACGTTGAATATGTTGGGTAACTCGCTAGTGGTTTACATTTTGCCTGTGTTGAGTATAACAAGACGGTGCACCAGCCGCCCAGGACGGTGCACCAGCCGCCCAGGACGGTGCACCAGCCGCCCAGGACGGTGCACCAGCCGCCCAGGACGGTGCACCAGCCGCCCAGGATGGTGCACCAGCCGCCCAGGACGGTGCACCAGCCGCCCAGGACGGTGCACCAGCCGCCCAGGACGGTGCACCAGCCGCCCAGGACGGTGCACCAGCCGCCCAGGACGGTGCACCAGCCGCCCAGGACGGTGCACCAGCCGCCCAAGACGGTGCACCAGCCGCCCAGGACGGTGCACCAGCCGCCCAGGACGGTGCACCAGCCGCCCAGGACGGTGCACCAGCCGCCCAGGACGGTGCACCAGCCGCCCAACGACGGTGCACCAGCCGCCCAGGACGGTGCACCAGCCGCCCAGGACGACGGTGCACCAGCCGCCCCACCAGCCGCCCACGGTGCACCAGCCGCCCAGGACGGTGCACCAGCCGCCCAGGACGGTGCACCAGCCGCCCAGGACGGTGCACCAGCCGTCCAAGACGGTGCACCAGCCGCCCAAGACGGTGCACCAGCCGCCCAGGACGGTGCACCAGCCGCCCAGGACGGTGCACCAGCCGCCCAGGACGGTGCACCAGCCGTCCAAGACGGTGCACCAGCCGCCCAAGACGGTGCACCAGCCGCCCAAGACGGTGCACCAGCCGCCCAGGACGGTGCACCAGCCGCCCAAGACGGTGCACCAGCCGCCCAAGACGGTGCACCAGCCGCCCAGGACGGTGCACCAGCCGCCCAGGACGGTGCACCAGCCGTCCAAGACGGTGCACCAGCCGCCCAAGACGGTGCACCAGCCGCCCAGGACGGTGCACCAGCCGCCCAGGACGGTGCACCAGCCGCCCAGGACGGTGCACCAGCCGCCCAAGACGGTGCACCAGCCGCCCAAGACGGTGCACCAGCCGCCCAGGACGGTGCACCAGCCGCCCACCAGCCGCCCAGACGGTGCACCAGCCGCCCAAGACGGTGCACCAGCCGCCCAAGACGGTGCACCAGCCGCCCAAGACGGTGCACCAGCCGCCCAGGACGGTGCACCAGCCGCCCAAGACGGTGCACCAGCCGCCCAAGACGGTGCACCAGCCGCCCAGGACGGTGCACCAGCCGCCCAAGACGGTGCACCAGCCGCCCAAGACGGTGCACCAGCCGCCCAAGACGGTGCACCAGCCGCCCAAGACGGTGCACCAGCCGCCCAAGACGGTGCACCAGCCGCCCAGGACGGTGCACCAGCCGCCCAGGACGGTGCACCAGCCGCCCAAGACGGTGCACCAGCCGCCCAAGACGGTGCATCAGCCGCCCAAGACGGTGCACCAGCCGCCCAAGACGGTGCACCAGCCGCCCAAGACGGAGCACCAGCCGCCCAGGACGGTGCATCAGCCGCCCAAGACGGTGCACCAGCCGCCCAGGACGGTGCACCAGCCGCCCAAGACGGTGCACCAGCCGCCCAAGACGGTGCATCAGCCGCCCAAGACGGTGCACCAGCCGCCCAGGACGGTGCACCAGCCGCCCAGGACGGTGCACCAGCCGCCCAAGACGGTGCACCAGCCGCCCAAGACGGTGCACCAGCCGCCCAAGACGGTGCACCAGCCGCCCAGGACGGTGCACCAGCCGCCCAGGACGGTGCACCAGCCGCCCAGGACGGTGCACCAGCCGCCCAGGACGGTGCACCAGCCGCCCAAGACGGTGCACCAGCCGCCCAGGACGGTGCACCAGCCGCCCAAGACGGTGCACCAGCCGCCCAGGACGGTGCACCAGCCGCCCAGGACGGTGCACCAGCCGCCCAGGACGGTGCACCAGCCGCCCAGGACGGTGCACCAGCCGCCCAAGACGGTGCACCAGCCGCCCAAGACGGTGCACCAGCCGCCCAGGACGGTGCACCAGCCGCCCAAGACGGTGCACCAGCCGCCCAAGACGGTGCACCAGCCGCCCAAGACGGTGCACCAGCCGCCCAAGACGGTGCACCAGCCGCCCAGGACGGTGCACCAGCCGCCCAAGACGGTGCACCAGCCGCCCAAGACGGTGCACCAGCCGCCCAAGACGGTGCACCAGCCGCCCAGGACGGTGCACCAGCCGCCCAAGACGGTGCACCAGCCGCCCAAGACGGTGCACCAGCCGCCCAGGACGGTGCACCAGCCGCCCAAGACGGTGCACCAGCCGCCCAGGACGGTGCACCAGCCGCCCAAGACGGTGCACCAGCCGCCCAGGACGGTGCACCAGCCGCCCAAGACGG